TGCCTCTTTGCTCGGGCAAGCCTAAAAAGAGATTGCGGTCACATGTAGTCGAGAAGGTCGATTGTTGGCTAGCTAGGTGGAAAGGTTGTTTCCTTTCTCCGTGAGGCAAACTGACACTCATCAACGCTACCCTTGCCAACAAACCAGCCTATCAAATGTCCTTGCTCCATATGCTTGTGGCTATCATTGCTAGGATCGAACAGTTAATGAGAAGGTTCTTTTGGTCGGGGGAGGCGTCCACAAACAAGTTCCACCTCATAGCCTGGGATAAACTCTGCCTCCCTAATAAAGTGGGAGGGCTCGGAATCAAAAACCTTAGAAAGCATAATCTGGCTCTTGGCAAATGGAGCTGGCATATGGCGACCCAAAGGGATCAGTTGTGGATCAATATCCTCAAGCACAAATATCGACTACCGACTTCACCCTGAATATCAGATTGCAGGCCAAACCATAGATCCTCCAGTATTTGGAGGTCCATTTGTGAGGTTCGCCAACTTTCCAAACTCGAATTAGGTTCCACCTGAGAGAGGGGAACCGCATCTGGCAGGACTTGTGGCTAGGCCATACTCCTTCAAGGACAGGTTCCCATATCTCTACTCTCTCGCCCATAGTCAAGGGGCTACTGTAGCTGACGAGATGATACTGGCAGGGTCTTCGCGATCTTGGAAACCTGTTTTCAAAAGGGATCTTAATGAACCGGAAGTTATCCACTTGACCGAACTAGCGGCTGAGCTCCAAGCCATATTTTTAGCACACTCTGGTCCCGATCGTATTATTTGGTCCCCATTAGGTTCCGGGAACTTCTTAGTATCTTCATTCTACCAAAGCCTAACTCAGGTTACAACAGTACCTGCAGCTCCTACTTCCTCTGTTTCACAGGCTTGGGTCTCCTTTGCTCCTCTGAAAATTAAGATCTTCATGTGGTTGGCCCTTTCCCAAAGGATGCTTACAGTCGATCAATTACAACATAAAGGCGTCCCTCTTCCTAATCGATGTGTCATATGTTTCGCAACAAGGGAAACAAATGACCATCTATTCTTGCACTGCCCCTATGCCTACAACCTTTGGGAAGGAATTCTCAATCTTTTCAATATCCAATGGGCTACACCTGAGCATGTTCCATCCATCCAGCCCTTCCCCTGGTCAAAACCAGGGATATTACTTTGGAAATCAATGGTAGCGGCCACTATTTAGGCTTTATGGATCGAACGCAACAGCAGAATCTTCAAGGGAGAATACTCCCTGTGGATTAAAATCCTCACCAAGATCACATCCACAGTTGTTTTCTGGGCAACCAATCATCACAACTTCAAAGGAGTCTCCACCTCGGCTTTCTTCCAGGACTGGAGCATAGTACTTGGGTATAATCGCAAACGCCTTGCTCGGGCTTCCTTTTGGATCCCCCACCACAGGGCCGGGTTAAGCTTAACTTTGACGAATGTTCCCTCGGTAATCCAGGACCATCCAGAGTGTGAACCATCATTAGAGACCATCTTGGTGCTACGATGGCTACCACTTCCATTCACATCGGCCATGCCAACTCTATGGAAGCCGAGGCAATAGCTCTCCTGGAAGGACTCAAGCTCCTCTAACCAATCTGCCTGAACTCTGTCTCGATTGAGGGAGATTCGCAGAATACCATATCGTGGACCCAAAGAACACCTTCTTCACCCCCACCCTGGTCCCTTGCGCATCTCTTAGATCAGATTCATTACCTGTGCAGGGATATGGTCGTCTCATGAACGCATACCTGGAGGGAAGGTAACCACAAAGCAAACGCCCAAGCTAAAGAAGCGACATTCATGGAGGGATTTTAGAAGCTTCATCGTTATCGTTGGTTTTTTCAGGCTTTTTAGATCAGTTTCTTTTTCTTGGTTGCTGTTTCTATACTGTAACCCTCAAAAAGAAGGCTTTTGGATTCTTTTCTTTTTTTTTACTTTCTTCCCTAGAGCATCCATCCTTGTGGATTGCCTAGGTCTCTTATAATCATCTTCTTACTTAATTTAAGGTTAACAGTATCAAAAAAAAAAGACACCAGACTTTTTATGTAGATAATTATAAAGAATAAATACTCGTGAGGGGCCTGAATGGAGTAGAGAGTAATGAGTACTAAAATAAGTCAATAACAACAAGATAGTCCATGCAAGCCTTGGAGATAAAGATTTCTACATACACAGGATTTTGTTAAGCAAAGCACATCGAGAGATCATAATGGAGAAATATCACACTTATGCCAGAGAATATGGCATCCTATATAGTCGTATTGAGGATTCTGGGTTTTATGCTAACTGCCAAGTGAGAATGCTTGTCGAATGGAATGGACACCATGAGATTCTGGGTTTTATGCTAACTACCAAAAGTTATAGTTTAACATCCATCTAGGTCATCACCACGAATGAAATGGACACCATGAGATGAGGCAACTCTTGTGTGACTGTATTTGTTCTTTAAAATATGATCAAAAAGAAGGAAAATAGGAAAACTTATAATAGAAATACATATAATATATATACCTCACAATAAATACATGTGACAAATACACAAGAAAGTAGTCCTTGTTAGCACTTTCGGTTTCCTGAATTTTGTTAGCAACAAACCAGCAACCAATATCAACAATTGATGGTTGGGGTGTCTCAATCCTCCGGTCAAAATCCATCAAAACTTTTGATGGCCTTTGAGCAAGGAATGAACAGCCTAGCTGTCCTTTCTTGACATTGGACAGCAGGGGAGGTGCCAGCAGACTGTAGGATACCTAAGTTCCAGCAATAGATACAATCCCAACACATCATATGTATGTTTAATGAATCCTATGCAAGCACCGTTTATTGAATGCATCGCAGTATCATTATATATGCATATTATATGTCACATTTACGTTACAGATACGCATTATTAATTAGATAAATCATAATATATATATATAAATACATTATATCATATGCAAATCTAGATATCAATATCAAATATTGATACAGTTGTCTATAAATGTAAAATACATTGCATCAAAATTCATATGTTTATGCACTCACACATTTATCTATCTATGTATGTTTCGATGTATCCTTAAATGACATTATGCATAGCTATACATATTGGAAAATGGTTTGATAGGGCTGCAGCCCTATCAAAATAATTAAATCCTCACCTCATAACTCATCGAACATTGCAAGTCAAGCATTGGAAAACCTTTACACTGATCATCTCGACTTGAACATTATGGTTGTGAAAAAAAATTAGGATTTCAAGCTGTAAAAATAGTGTATATTGTAACAAATTATCTAGACCATCCATTTTGCTTTAAAAATAAGTGTTCACAGATCCGCAAGATCTGCATCATTTTTTGAGTTTCAAATTTTATTGTCTGCGTTGGAAATTGATTTTACAGCCATCATAGAGATTTTCGTCACTGAAAGTACTTTCCGGACGAGAATTTGAGGTGACGCTTTATTTTATTTTCATAGAGTCTGGACCTTATAGAAACCACATCCATACTTATTTTCCTCAATAGTAAAATTTATGAAAAGACAATTAAGGATTCAGAGTGGCCGACACCTAGGATTTCCAGGTGGAACTGTAATAATTGGTTGGGAGAGCTCTGAGTTTAAAAAATTAAAATACAAATAAAAATAAAATGATAAGTTCCAAAAAAAAAAACATTAGTTGGGGGGCTTTGTACCTTATATAAGTATTTGTTAGTCAGTTGCAGGGAAACATTAAGGGGCCAAGTTTCTCTTGTTGATTCTAAACTAGGAATATCTTGATACACATTATGTTTGACTAGAACTTCCTTGCAACAATGACATCCTTTACATGCACATGGATGGTAATGACTTTTATCCCACTGCATTCAACAAACAAGAATACTTAACCATAATTACACATGTATTACATTTTAACAGTAGAGAGAAGCTCACAAATCAAGCCTTCAACTGTTTAAAGCCACATATAAACACTCAGAGGCATTATATCTTTTGACTTAAATTACCCAAATGGGGCTCCCCATAGACATCATTTGTTTATCAATGTACGTGCATTTCGTTAGTTCAATTCCCAGCTCTATTGAGTTGGTCAAGTGCCTTTTCAAGAGTTTGCTTCAGAAGAGCACCAAAACAGTGTCTCTATGCAGGAATCTTTGCAAGGAAGCTTTCATCATACCAGTCCAAGGTGATCTTGCAGAAAATATAATCCATAAGTCTGCAACTTCAAAAACATTTCTAGCTAGTTTGACTGCCACATGTGCTTTGGCAAAATCCATTTATCATTCCAACAAAATGCAACTTTTTTGCAAGTGAGAAGCTTTTTTGGTATAGGTTCACACCCAGATAGAGATCTAAAGGGGCATGCAAAGAAGTTACCCTGTCACAAACTGGCTGTTAACCAAAAGCTACCCTGACAGTGGAGCAACATGTTTCAGGGAAGCATCCAGATGAGCCCTAAAAGTTTTAAACAGACCAAAGACCCAATGGATTCATATAAGAAATGCCAACATCCCATACTTCAGGTCAGTCAAATAAACTGTACTGATTTAATTATAACCATTAATTACAGTTTATTACATAGACACAATACCCATTTCACAAGTGAAATCTCACCACCAAGCCACCAACTCTGCATGAAAATCCGACTTCAAATGTAGAGACTGTTAGTTTCAAATGATTTCTTCCTCATAATATTTTTTCAACATACAGTTACAAGATGAGAAAAGAAACATCACCACCCAGTGACTAACTCTGCATGCAAATAAGATTTCAACTTCAGAGATGACGTTAATTTAGAACAGTTTCTTCCTGGTAGCATTTTTCCAACATATTGTCACAGACACAAGAATGAAAAGGATGTTTGTGACATCAATACAAAAGTAAACATAAGTGTGTGAATATCTGTAAGTCTGTGTCACAGCCTTCAAATGAGCCAATGTTGGTACTGATAACTAGCATTCCTCATTTCTAGTGCGACAAACTCAGAACATGAATGGGACTAAAGATGAAACTATGAAATACCTGGGACTCCCCAGAGTATCTTATATGTTGGCTTCAGGTTGGCTTCATCAAACTCCACACATGCATTCTCAAATTTGTTATTACTGTCAAAACAATTAAACGTTTAAAGATGTGAATCAATGCATATAGAGAGAAGACTATCCCAAGAATAAAGAAAACAGTTATTAGAGCAATCCATAAACCAGTTCGAGCAGCAATACAATTCACAAAAGAAACAATGATGACAGAGACAAAAGCATCAAGTAACAACTAACATGAGAAGTGCCATTCCAACCAAGAGACGTCCAAGAGATCTTCAAAAAAAAAAAATTGCAAAGGATAGTGACGATTGAAAACAGGTACCTGTAATGGAATGATCATGTAAATTGTAGTTACGTACCTGTAATGGAATGACCATGAAAATTATTGTTAAAACAACTTCATCCCAATGGTCTCAAATAATTAGATCAGAGGATCAATGACGAACTTGAAAATGTCCTATTCTTCCCCTCTACAACTCCATTTTATGCCAGGGTTGGAGGACAAAGTCGAAAATGAATCATAACGTAATGAAAAGAAGGTTTGAATTTCATTAGACAATTAGTATCCTGCTTGAGTCCATACAAAATACCATAATATTTTTATAAACGAAATCAAAGTCATTGGGATCGGAATCGGGATCAGAATCGGGATCAGATACGGGATCCTGATGAAGAACGTGGGATCATGACAAGCAAGAAGCTCCCAAAGGTAGGTTTGAATTTCATTAGACAATTAGTATCCTGCTTGAGTCCATACAAAATACCATAATATTTTTATAAACGAAATCAAAGTCATTGGGATCGGAATCGGGATCAGAATCGGGATCAGATACGGGATCCGGATGAAGAACGTGGGATCATGACAAGCAAGAAGCTCCCAAAGGTAGGGATCATTGTCCGTGTGCCCCTGAAATCTGGGGATCTCAATCACAACATGTGGGGGAGCTCGATCCCAGCTTAATCAGAATCAAGTGATAAATTATACATGACAAAGCTCCATTTGGTTAAAACTAAAGGCCCCAAGGGCAATTAACTAGGGTTCCCTAGGTCAGGAGTGCAGCCCACAAAACATTCTGAATAATTAATAATTTTAAAAATTAAAATATTATGAAATATTTCAAAAAATTAGTCATTCTAAAATATTATAATATTATGTTCTCTTTTGGCAGCAATTAATATTTTAAATAAGCAATAAAAATTTAGAAAGAAATTGATATTTTGCTGCCCTTGAATAACCGGAACAGTACTTTCACTTTTTGATGCAGAATTTGCCCTTGAAACGTTTCATCTTGGGCGTCCAACAAGATCCTAGCATGTATCCCTCGTGTGTTGAGTCTTCCCACAATGGGTGCACTTTAATTTGTCCTTCTCATCAAATATGGGATTTCCTTGGCCATGTCTACCACCTCAGCCTCCACCCCAACTCCCAAGACATCCTCCACCTCAATTACCACTAGAACTTGTGAATAGGGCATATCTTTCAGTTTCACCTATAAAAATTGCCATTATCCGAATTTCTTCACACTAAAGAAAGGAAAAAATAGTACCAAGCGATGGTAAAGTCTCTCCATCGAGAATATTTGCCCTAATCAATTCATACTTCACATTAAATCCCCTCAAAAGATCGAGAGTCTTCCTTTATTCTAGTCTCTCTCTTTGTTCCTTTGCCCAAAATGAGTATTGGATGGGCTAATGATGGCTCAATTCATTCAAAAAATCATGTAAACGAGCATAATAATCTTGCATTGACAAGTCAACTTGTTCAAAATCACTGATTTGCTGCTCCAATTCATAAACCCTCGCAATATTTTTCTTTTGGGAATAGGACTCAGTCACTACATCCCGTAATTCATTAGGTGTATTGCAGTTAATAAAGGATCGACTCATATTAGGCTGCATAAAAGATAGTATCCAATTCATAATTCCATATCATTAGACTCCCAATCTACATATTTAACATCCTTTAGATCCAGTTTTTCAACATGGCTGTCAATATATCCTAGTTTTTTCTTTCCACCAAGAAATAGTCTGGCTGACTTGGCTCATAGTTTGTGCCATCAAATCTAACTCTAGTGATTTGGAGTCCAGAAGGCTCCATATTTGATGCTTGTATAGACATTCTCTATCAGAGTTGAGATCTGGTTACACCCTCAGATCTTAATCAACAATTGGGATCAAGTTATATCCTTTGATCTCCTCAAACAAAAGGTTTACAGATCTGGTTACACCCTCAGATCTAATCACACTTTCCTTTTTTCTTAGAAAAACATCAAAAAAACAGCACTATAAGTATTTCCTTGATCCGGGTTATAGAAATCCTAATCCATCCAAAATCTAGGTTTTCTAACAAGACACTTGATCGGCATCTAGAAATCATAAACCCCCCCCCCCCCCCAACCAAGGATGACATCATGCCTAAACATTGTTCATGTGCACCTTTGTGAAGATCAACCCCCCTTTTTTCTTTCTGCTCTGATACCCAGTTGAAATTAATCTTGAGTAACCAAAAGAGTGTAAAGAAGCGAAGAGAACAATAGATAGGATCTAGAGAGAGAAAAAAAGAAGATAGAGAGAGACATGTGAGAGATAGAGAGAAAAAGAGTAGTGTTGCTCTCCTCTAACCTCCACCCCTTTTATTTATATTATGTTAAGAGGAGAGAGAGAGAGAGACGTGTGAGAGATAGAAAAAGAGTAGTGTGTTGTTCTCCTCTGACCTCCACCCCTCTTATTTATGTTATGTTATAACCTAATTACAATCTCTGGACAATATTGCCCTTACTAAGAGAAATACAACAAATAAGTCCTAAACAAAGATAAAAGACAGTTCTACCCATCAAATACAATAAAGCTTAATTCTTTTATTTCAAACATCCTGTTTCAAGAAAAACACGGAATGATCTACATGGCTGCATCGAAATCCATATGCCACAACAATTTAATTAAATTTCTCAAACCATGCACATGGGCACCGCTTCATATCGTAAATGGCATTCTTCAACCTACATACCTTATTTGATTCCCCCTGAGAAACAAACCCAGGTGTTTGCTCCATACACACCTCCTTTTGTACATCACCATGGAGGAAAAATTTCTTCACATCAAGCTGCCATAGTCGCCAGCCCTTGTTTGTTGCTATAGATATAGGAACTAGAACTGAATTAAGTTTGGCAACAAATGCAAAAGATTAAACATAAAGGTACAAAAGTTTCAAAGTAATCAAGGACAAAGGTTTGGGCATATCCTTTTGCAACTAACCTAGCGTTTTTTTTTTTTGAATAAGGGTAACTTTTGTATTTAAAAATAATAATTTACATTTTACTAATTGTAGAGATGGCATCCCACAAGTTGGGTGCTCAGACTACAACTGTTAAGCAGATAGAAGAAAAGAGAGAGAGAGAGAGAGAGAGAGAGAGAGAGAGAGAGAGAGAGAGAGAGATAGAGAGAGTGAGTGAGAAGTAGTTATGAGGATAGTGAAACAAAAAATGAATGCCAAAACCCAAAGAAAGAACCCAACACGAAGTGCTACAGGATCCCGCTGAATAGAAAGAAAAAACTTGACAGCACTTGTGGAGACATAGTTTGTCTTGAACTTCAACTAAATCTCCTGATTTTGCCATCAGGCTGATATTTTACTACAACCTAGCGACACCCAACAATTCCTTTTCTAGCTGGTAACTCTGTGAGCTCTCATTTATCGTTCAAGTTGAGTGTGTTCATCCTCTTCCATTGCTTTCTTCCACCCAATATGAGAAAGAGTTTCTCGATAATACTTGGGGGTAGAAATAGATGAGAGAACTAAAACAAAACTTTGATAGAATGGGGAGAAAATTTGCAAAGGCAACACAATGAGAAATGGAATGTTTGAGTATAAGACCTTATATCTTTACGAATAATAGATGCATTACCAACCATAGACACAGAATGTGAATCTGAACTCTGAAGCAGAAAGTAGATCTATAGGAGAAGATGATAATTGAGTGGTTGAATGAGTCAGTGCACAGTGTGCATCCTGCACTTTCCATATCGTGTATACTTTATAGGTTGCTTTTAGAGACATTATGATGTGTAGATTCAATAGGTTCAGCTTGTCCAAGCAACTGCGATGAAGAAGAAATATCAACAGGAATAGGAAGAGGAACTATAGAAGATGAGGATTGTGAGACTTCTTCTGCAGCAGGATAAAAATAAAAATTTGCATCAAGCATGTGACCTACTACTGAAAAATAAGGACTATTTTCTAAAAAGCTAATATCATTACATATAATTTTTTTCGTAAACTAAGATGATAGCATTGATTACCTTTCTCAGAGCATGAATACCCCAACAAAACATTCTTGACAGCTCAATGATGTAACTTACCATTACCAACACCCAACACATGAACAAAGCAAACACGCCCAAATACTTGTGGAGGAACAACAAATAATGGAGTATCACGAAAGCGAAAAAATGTGGTGTCTTTCCATTCAAAATTGAAGAGGGCATACGATTAATTAAATAGCATTAGGTTAGCAAGGTATCTCCCCAATAAACTTTTGGAACATGAGCGGGTTACTTCAAGTAAATATCCATTTTTGCCTTTTGGAACATGAGCGGGTTACTTCAAGTAAATATCCATCTTTATTTTATTAAATATAACCATATCATTCGTAAATGATAATCCACGAAAGGTACAAAATATTTATAGCTAGACAGACTTTGTACTCTAGCAAGACCCTAGATATCGAAATGAACAATTGCAAATGGAACAGGTCTCCATTCATCTGTTCCAAGATGAAATGACACCCTATGATGTTTGCCTCACTAACAAGCCTCACACTCTAAAGTAGACACATACTTTAAAGAAGAGACCAACAACTTCAAGTTATTGAGAGAAACATTGCCCAACCGACAATGCCTTATGAAGGAAGAAGCAGCAACGTGAAGAGTAACACCAATCAAATTATCATTGAAATAGTATAAGCCACCTGACTCATACCCGTCAGCAATCGTCCTCCTTGTCCTTAGATCCTGAACGGTACAAGAAGAGGGGTAAAAAGTTATGGAGTAGTGAAGAGGTTTAGTTAAATTGTTTACATACAACAAACTAAAAGGAAACTTTGGATCACATAGCATAGAGGACAGAGAAAGGGTAGATGTAGGTACCCTGTCTAGACACATTAAACAGTGATCCATCAGTCAATGTAACAGAAGAATTAGAAACACACTTACCTAGTGATTCAAAAAAAAATGACTCATTAATTGTGTGGTTAGAAGTTCCTGAGTCAATAACCCAAGGAGTAGTTTTCTTATATGCAAGAAGCAATCTGAGATGCAAGAAGCATAGAAGTACCTAAATTAGCCAGGTTGGTAATGAAAGCAAAAAGATGGAGACTAGGCTGCTATACTTGTTTAACAAGTTTATTATGTTCTTCTCTTGTAAGCACAATAGAGTCACAAGCAGAATTTGAGTGTAGGTCATAACCATTAGGCCCATTCAAATAAACATCATCACCCACATATGTGTAAGTAACCTGATTGGCCCAAGCAGGCTTACGAATCTTATCCCAACACTTATGATTTTTATGATTTATAAGCCAATACGGACACTTTTGAGTTCCACCACCCCAGCCTCCACCTCTACCACGGCCACCTCCTGTGTCACGACTATGTGCCCTACTTCTGCCACCATCACCTCTCCCCACAAATGTATTTAATGCTGATTCATTACTAACACTTGAGTCAAAAGGTGTAGGAGTGGCGGATATGTTAACACATTGAACGTGCACACACATTATCAAGGGATGGCAGCTCACTGCTTACCAAAATATGTCCACAAACAAGATGGTACTTGGGATTAAAAATTAATAACCCGATAAAAATTTGGCAACCATGATTTCTTCACATTGCTACCTCTGCAATTCTACATCGCTAGATATCAGCTGCTACAATTCAGCTCTTACGGCATACCCCTACGACCACTATAATATCCACTCACAACTTGTTGTAATCGAAACATTTTCTCAAATAATTCATATACTTGAGACATGTTCTTATCTAATGAATATGTTTCTTTCAAAGTGTCCCAAATTTCTTTAACAGTAATGTTTCAGAAAACGTTAGGCGGCAGGGGGGGGTCCAGGCTGCCTAGCGCCTAGGCGGGCACCCAGAACCAGAGCGGCCCAGTAGAAATAAAAATGTCTCTATAGTCTAACAATATAAGTATAATTATATAACACATAAGAGTTTAGAACTTACGGCACATCAAATGTATGGTACACAAGTCCACATAGCGCACATTCCTCCATACTCCAAGTCCATATTCAATTATCCATAGTCTGATAGTCCACACTCCACACGTAGTTAAAACTAAAAATTTACCAACCAAAGTTACCAAACCAATGAACCACAAATCAACAATACACAACCAAGACGAAACAATACACAACCAAGACGAAATCTAATATCAATGGGTGATGCTTAGATCAATTTCTCGTAACTTTGAGAAACCCTTCGATCCTATGGAAATCACCAAAAACTAGTTTTTTGGGGTTTTTCTCTCTCTAAAATAGGCTCTAATGAGGTTTAGGTTCCAAATGAAGCTAAAACCCACGATTTTTCCCCTTTTTTATAAAAAAAAAGACCAAAAAATGCCCTCAACGAGGGACATTTCCGCCCTTGGACGGGGCGCAGGCCATAGGCAGCTGTCCAAGGGCAACACTACATTATCCAAACAAACTAGGGCAACACTACATTATCCAAATCTGAGTATCACCATGCTGCCCCCTTTGAGAAGGTCATGGCAGCACCTATCCACGCGAAAAACTAACGGTTTTTGAGAGAAAACTCCGGCGAATCATCAATGGTTGCCCACAAACCTCGAAAGTAGGTAACAATTCCTCTATTGATCTCAATCTTTAAAGAGCAATCATATGAACAGCAGCATCAGTACATTAAATGCAGACCTACATGGGTTTTTGTGCACTCAAAAAAAAAAAAAAAATATGGTTCTGATTGAAGAACCCAATGAAGTAACCCCCATCTTTTTTTGTTAGGGTAGAGAAAAAAATCAAGATGGAGAACACTGGGTCTCAAGCACCTCTCAGATCCATTTCAGAATGATAAAAAACACAGTAAAAACGTGAAACTGCCCATACAAACTGAAATATGAAATATAGGACCTATTAACATAAAATAAAAGAGAAATGAGGACAAGAAAAAGGATATTTAATATTGAATTTATATACTGAAAACCACTGACGGAAACCCAGTTTCTCATAATTAATTGCCTGCATGTGCCGAACAGAATTTGCTGGTGCGTCACTTGATCAGCAACGGGTTTTTTTATCACTAACACGGACTTCAGCACATAGACCTCTTGAAAGGAGCAACAAAGGATCACCACTTAATTTAGGGGAAAATGTACTTACTGACAATAATGGCAATTTGAAAGAGGTGCTGGTATGTTTGTATTTTAGATGGTTCACTAAAAACATCATTATAATCAGTGTAAGGGTGCTCCGCAAGGTCCATGAATTGTTTTGCATGTAAGTGCAATCAATTAAATGAATTTATGAGCCTGAACAGAGATGACATTTACAGCCGAGAAGTTATAACTGAAGCCGCTCTAGATCAAAATGCTGTTCATAAATGAAAAAACGGATTGTAGATGATAGCAAAACCAAATGTAACATGTTACCATCCAATGATTATGTTTAGAAGGCTGAACATAGATTACATTTATAAACAAGGATTTAAATGAAGCCGCTCTAAAATCCAATTTTTACACGTTTGGATTTGGAGTACCAACAAAAATGAAACATGTTACCGTCAAATGATTACATAAATGCAAACTTTAGCAAGAAACAACAAATCACAAATCAAAACGTTGGAAGACCTGTATTTTAGGGTCTTGAGCTCGCCGTGATGAGTAGTTGCCAGAGTCAACTGAGCACTTTCAGCTAGGGATTCTAGCAATGCCATGGCCAGAGCTGCTCCTTCCAATGGATTTGTTCCCGCACCAACCTACAAATAATATAAGTGAAATCAAAGAAGTTTTTTCTAAAAGCCATAAATTAAATAGTATTTGCGTTCTTCACATGGGACATTCTTTATTGTGCTCATGCTTCTAAACCACATAATAACACAAAGCCAGAACCTAGATGATCCATCAACCAAATTTTATTTGAAAAGAACAATGAAAAATCTAAGAACAACCCCACCATGGCCCGAAGAGCTAACCTTATAAAAAAAAGGATTTACAGCAGACCCCAAGGACTGCCCACAAAGAATATACAAACAAATACACTCCCACTCAAACAGGAACATAAATCAAAGGACAATGATGCAATTTTGTGAACTTGGAAACTCTAGAATTGGCTTCCACATATAATGGTTCAGTTCTAATCATATCTCAGGAGCCAATTATGAATGAATCAATAAAGGCCACACCATAGAATCCCAAACTCACATAACTAACATCAAACAATAAATTTCAAACTTTGACCAACCTACCTCCATCTTGAACACACATGAAAGCAGGAGAAGAAGCATATAACAACATCAACACGATATAACAAGAACTGATCTAATCTAAGAATTTATTTTTAAGGCTGGGTTTGGGAGCACTAGGAGTTAACAACATTAATGAAATAAATGCAGCACTCTATTGAACTGTACAATGGGAGAAATTTTGGATCAGAGATTCTTTCCAACACTGGATGCAAAAGGGAGTTTATGAGCAGCACTTTAAATGCTCGCTCTACACCAAAAAGGTGTAAGCAAACCATCTCCTTTTGACCACTCTAAGAATTTCAGTTATAATGCATTGTGTAATGCATTATAAACCCTTCCCCAAACACAGCATAATCTATAGGGAAGAACCAAAAGACCAAGTAATTAGATAAGACAGTGTTCATGTCAAAGAAAGTTCCAACATATCAAAATCGGGGAACCATCATTCAAATTTCATTTCAACCCCAGCCCAAATTTCAAATTTCTGAAATTGTTTCTGTTTTTAGTTATGAAATTGTCTTCAGGAAACCTCAGGCAATTTTGTTTCCAGCCCCCAGCCACAATCATTCTAATATTTAAAAACAACTGATCATGAATGCTGCCACAGTGCCAGATATTCACCAAATCAGTATTTCTATCTGCCATGTCAAGCGAGGTTCTGCCATACGGTTCTTGTTAACAGCTTGATCATAAATATGAAAATGGCACGAAAGCTACAGAAAATAAGGACCAGACCAGTTTCAACTTTGAAAATATGACTTTTCTTGACCAGAAAAATCATGAAAGCCTTTGTTTCTCTAGAAAACTCACTTCATCTAAAAGCACCAATGAGTTGTTCGTCAATCGCATCAAAATCCCCTACACAACATGAAAAAGGCATTTAATCAGACCAATCTAATAAAATTTTGAAACAAATTACCTGAAGCCTTAATAAAATAAGGCAGCCACAAGATCTGTAATAGAAATTCTTATGCGAGGACACTCAAGAAGAAAATTTTCTTCAACTATTTCTATATATGATCAACAAAATTAGCATACTAATGACAACGAATCCTTTAAACAATAGGAAAGACTTGGAGATGAAAGAATAACACCTAAAGACAGCAATTCACTGCTCAGAACAGTCTCAAGAAAATGGCAAGGCACACCAACTAGAATTGCAAGGAATTCATGAACAGTAGCAGCACACCTAGTACGTCCCCAGTCATTGGACAGAAAACTTTCACGATATTGCAATTGGCTGAGTGATGAATTATCCATATGACAAGGCAAATTAAATGTGTATCATCAGTAAATCATAAGACACTAATGCTAGCATTCCCAGAACTATATTCCCATGCCCTTTTGATTTACTTTAAAATACTAGATCAAAAATGTTGTTCTTTCGTCCTAACATTTGTTATATTCAAGACCTCGCCAGAAAGAACCTATCAAAAAAAGATCTCTAAACAAAGAATCCACTAAAAAGAGCACCTCCCCGCAAAGAGTCAACCTGGAGGATCAAAGACTTTATAATTTGTAGATAGACCACTGTTCAGTGTCTCCTATCCAGCATCCACAAATATTTCTCAAATCTTCATAAGTAGCACATTTAGCGACAAATAATTAGGAAAGGCACAGTAAAATGATCTCTTTGGATGTATTTAGTTGTTTTCTTTTCAATTTGCACATGAATCGTAATGATGCATTGACTAACAACCATATATTTCCTCAAGGAGACAACATTCATATTAAATCACCACAGCACAAACACCACCCTTTCATGATTTTTGACAATAGTCGGTACTTCCATGTTTCATTTTTGTCCACTTTGATGTGTGAGGAGTTGTGCGCGTCCACTTAAGAGCATTTTCATGTATCGTTCTATTTCAATGGATGGTTTCTCCAAAATACCTATGGTGTGGCTTGGCTGCATAGGCAGGCGCCCAGGAGCATGGATTGGTCAGCCCCAAGGAATTCTAAGGGCAGGGGCTTAGACCCCTAGGGAGAACATGGGCAGCTTTAGGTCCCAATACTCCGGAAAATTTAAAAAAAAAAAAAACACAATATAATATCCCTAAGATTTGATTTTGGAATCTAAATACTCTAAAAAATTAAATTTAATTCGAAGTTATGAGAACCTTAATCCTCTTCCCTGACTTGTTCTCAACCTCCAGTTTAAATCTCTGGAAGCAATCAATTGCCTGAGATTTATGCGAGATTAAACATAACTATAGTGCAAGTAATTATGAATAAAATCTGATGAAGTACTGGGATTTCTCGCGGGCCTTCACATTAAAAAGACCACATATGTCAGAGTAAATGATTTTTAGGGGTTAGCTTTTAGGGTATGGTTTCCTAGTGAATTTCCAATTAGACAAGGTTCACGGTGGGTAAGTCTACTTTGGTTAAGGATCCCAAAAGTCCTTCTTTAATCAATCTAGTCATCATATTTTTACTAATTTTTCCTAACCTCGCATGCCATAACATAGAATCATCACCAAGATGAGTGGAATAAGAAAAAGAGGGAGGGGATGAATTATCAAAAAGAATAGATGAATAACCAAAAGAATCATCCAAATCGAAAGTAAACAACCCATCATGAAGAAAACCACCATAACTAGAACCATTCTTAATTTTAATTTGAAACCTATTATTTAAGAAAGAAATTAAATGTCCTTCTGAAGAGAGCTTGGGTACTGGAGTAGGCTCCTCTTCATTCCAAGAGCGTTGAGTATATCATGGAGAAACATGGTCCGACCAGATCAAAAGTCCAAATGATAGGCCCCACGCCCACCACGTCTTCGACAGCATCGCTTCCCATGAATATCTTCATGCCTCCCACTGGAACTCAATGAAGCTCCACGAACCCACCTTCATCCCTGGCTATGTGTTTCATTGCTCCTGAATCCACAATCCAACCATTAGACAATGGATAAGCGACTAGCACCTCTATGCGCCCATTAACAAAAACAATGGAACGATTGGTTCATACCTTTTTTGGCTCAATGCACTAACGAGCAAAGTCCGCAATTGAAGCAAGTCAAGGCTGATTTGTCCCTTGGAGCGCTCTTGCCACGCTTCCGCTTGTGCTTAGAATACTCCGCTTTCACTTCCTCTTTCTTAGGAGGAGTTTTCCTCTTACGCTTGACCTTGAATTTGTTACCACTCCTGGGCTTGCCTCCTTTAGCGAGCATGGCTACGTCATTGTCACTAGAAGAGCAGCATTCTACCTCGAGCTCCAGATGGTGAGATAAATGCACAAATGTCTTAGCATTCTCATCATGCGTCGTCATTATCTACATCTGCTCTCAAGAAGTAGGGCGTGAACAGAGCACAGCCAAAATCTGTTACTCGTCACTCAGAACATTACCAGTAGCGCTCAGGTCACGAATCATCTATGGACACATTTGGTGGCATTTTATATATCTCACATTTGGTGGCATTTTATATATCTCAAATGCCAACGTAAGTGCGGGCTTCCTAGTAGTTGAGGTACTAGCGAACTAAAGCTATAAAGCACTCCACATTTCCCTGGTTGTCAGATAGCTCTCAAACTTCCCAATTAGATCATTGTGCATACTACTTAACATGGTAAAGCGTCCAAAACGATCATTCTTGAGCCAATTCTGAAGAGCTTCCATATTACAACATGTTATGCACTCATGCCTTCCTCAAGGGGGAAGCATATTGTTGGTCAAATGTTCCAGTAGCCCTTGTTCATCAAGAAGATATTAGATCTTCCTGTGCCACATGGCATAATTATTGCCATCTAGTTTTTCCCTTCTAAGGAGGACTGAAATAATATTCTTAGAGGCCATGGTAGTCTACACATGTGAAGGAGGAAAAATCACAATAAATATCATGGATAAGGGTTTGTTCACACACACTTGCACATTCACATACATGTACCATTGATTTCAGCACTTGCTAGAGTCTTCAAGAATCAAAAGGGTCATACTTCCAAAATAACCAAAAACGAAAATTTCATACAACCATTGGCTAGTAATCATGATCAAGTCAATTCTAGAGAGCAAGGCCACTTACTTGACTCTTGTAATCAATTGAGTGTTTTACATCCCAGATGCAAAATCCCAAATGAAAAAGTGGCAAACTGATTGCAATCAATATCCAAAAAGACATGCAATCAGATGACATGCATCATGAACATCAATCGCGACAAAAACATTGCCAAAACGCATCTAAAAAAAAACAGGGCCAAAACAGGTTCTTAGAAGCAAAATCAACTAATGAGACCATGTTGGTTGCACTCCTCTTCGCGAGCTAGCCCAAAATCATATAAGGTTTGCCAAAATCGGACATTCGGAAGTTCTAATGCTGCACTGTAACAGTGAGCAGCCATGCGAAGGGCTACACAAACCCGAGGTGACTGCACCTCAACAGTGCGGAATCAGGTGAACAAGCACTTACAAAAGTGTGGCCTCATGGGACACGGGTAGGTCGCAAAGTGTAAAGGTGCAGCTGTGGCCACAATCAAAATTTACAATCGTGGGTTCACATATGGACTTGGGGCCTCAAATGGGTGCTAGTACATGAGTCGTCCCATTTGCATGCTTTTCATATGTGCATGTCGCATGCATGACTGGCACGTGTGTGGATTGCTCTCTTTTTTTTGCCTATGGACCTAGTGGCCAATCCACACAGCTGGGCATGCACTCACAGGTTCACCTTATGAATACCGTGGTACGGTGAGACCACATGAAGTCATGTGGGGCCAACATGCCTGCACCCTATGCAAGTGGGCCACACCCGTGGGCTCACAATGTTGTTTGCGAACCACGATGGTCCACCACAGGACCACTAGGCGGGACCACCACATCCACCACTCTCACGTGACATGGAATACACCACACCCACACGAGCCGCGCGACCACGCACTATGGGTTGTGGTCCCTTGTAGTCGTCCCTCTATGAAACCCCAAGGGACCAAGGCTTCCAGTTTGCGCCCAACGCATGTTTTGGCATGCCCGTGCATCCAATGATTGAGTCATTTGCGACTGTGTATGCACGATGGACCCCGAATGGAACCAAACACCGTCGAGGGCCCACTACGTCCAAAAAATCTAGAAAAAACACAAACAAGAATGGAAAAAAATTCTGAAGAATGTATTTTTGTGCTTTCTCGCACTAAAGAGCACCGGTTATCAGATCCAAAGGCACTCAGAGAGAGAGAGAGGGAGGGGTATTTGTTTCTTGAGAGAGATGGAGTGGGGTACCTATTTCTATATTTTGAGAGATGGAGTGGGAATTTGTTTGCCTTGTTGTTGATGCGTAACCACCTAAACTTTGCTGATGTTGCTCCATATGTTTGCTCTGTAAGCTATAGACTTGTGCTAATTTAGTATCCTGTTGAGCAGATGTTATTTTCTGGTTCGCACCAGTTATCAGATTCACAGGCGGATTTTTATTATAACAGCTCTAATGTCAATGTTAGAAACTGGGATGAACCAATAAGGCAACAAAAACACAAAGATAATAGGATCACATAGAAAACACATACCTTTTCGGATCCTCCTGTGCAACTTACAAGAACTTTTTTTATTTTCTTGCTTGAGCGCAACTCCTTTGATTTGAGAGTTTGATGCTACAACTTCAAGCCCGCTCTCAATTAGTAGAACCAAGAGAACTGTACACAGTTCAAATCCCCGAGCCTGACTGATTGAAGTAGCTCAAAGAGATCTCCTGTTTTTGGTCTCTAGAAGTCTATGTGGGACTAGCTTTTTCAAGAGAGCGGAAGTGCTCTTACGGAAGAAGAGAAAATACCAAAAGGAGAGAGAAGAGAGAGAGAGAGAGAGAAAGAGAGAGAGAGGTACAATTTTGACTTGGACGCATACTTTTTCCATCTCTCTCAAATTCCCTTTTATTCAAGTGGCCCCCCGTTAAAGGGGTCAACTTCCTATGATTTCCCATTATCTTTTGGGATTTCTTACTTATCAACAAAATACCACATGTTGTCTCTCCTTATCTCATAAAGCATAAAGTCGAATAACATCAAAATTGCCCCCCTTACCGACGAGGGGCGGACCTCATCAAAAAACCTAACACTTATTGTTCTCCTTTTCCTTGGAGTCCCCTATACCCCTTATAATACATGAAGAATCTTCATAGAATGGGAAAATTTTGCTCGGCCAATCAAATTGGTAGGTACCCTTCTTGCGGTTGCTCAGGCCCCAAAGCTGGCCCCACTTTCCATCAAAAGTGATCTTACACATTAGGTTCTTAACCTCTCGACTACCCCACCTCTTTCCCTTGCTTCCTTGTTGCTTCTTCAGCTTCCCCTATTCTTGTCGGTCCATTCTTTTTTAGCATAATCCTTGAACACCTCAGGGATATTATCCACATGATCACTACCTCGTAAAAGCATCGCCTGCATCATGACCCCCACATGTGCTCTAGCTTAGTTGATTCTCTGTTTCGCAGAGCCTCTGGGCTTTCCTTCTCTCTGTCAAGATCAGGTGTCATTGCTAATTCCGTCATCAGAGGACTGATATGGACTTGCTAGATCTTCATCTTCCATTCAAAGTATACTTCTAATGGACTACAGTTCTAGGACAGTTCCAGGTCTCTGCAATCTCAAGACGGGAACATGACACTGTTAACTTCTTGAGAGGTGTGATGCACCTGACAGTCTGAGGGATCTGATGATTACCTATTCCTACGTAATAACCCCATTCACATGCCCTTTCATATGCATAATCTGGACACAGCAACCCCTTTTAGAGGAGATAACTGTGATCACCTCCAGTTACATCCATTGGGGCCACAAATAGCAAGATTTCAGAGTAATCTCCTCACCAAAGAAGATTAATCTGGCCACAGATCCCAGAGGTTCCATCACCGAAGAAGATTGCTCTGTAATCTCTGTGTTTTTTTTCGTTCATATATATATATTAACAAAACACATTTACACATCCACTTACTTCCTCTTCTAAAATCCCCAGAGTGTACTTCTCAGACACCTGAGATGGTACCCATTGATACCAAAGTAAGCCCCCAAGATCAGTGTTCTCCAGTTCTCTTGTGGTCTGTTTTGCACCTGCCTGTGTTAACTAATTTGGTGCCCATTCAGATTCTGCACCCACCCTCCCCCCTTCATTAACCTAGACTTTGCTTGCATTGTAATGGCAAACATCCTGAGATTGAGCATGGACTCCAAGCAAACGAGATGGGATGAGAGATCTTGGAGGTGGGGGGGCTATTTCCCTTCTTTTCCAGAAGGCTCTATGCAGATGTCAATATTACCTTCCGCTGATGCCCCTCATTCATCTCATTCCTCCATATGCGAGGTATTATCCAAGATAAATCTCCTAGCAATTGCATCTTCTGAAACTCAGGCTCTGCATGAGGTTTAGTTTTAAAGGCATTTTAAGTTTACATTTAATTCTTGCTCCTCAGACTTTGACATTCTTAGCTTTCCTCTCAAGAAACATGGAAATAACACGTATGACTTGTTTAAGCCTACCACTCCTCATTATACTTTATTAAAGACAAAGCCATTTCTTAAACATTGTAAGAGTTTGAGAAGTTGGATAATTCCTCCCAAATCAGTCTATATGGCAGATAAATAACCAAAGTGATGAAAGAGGAATATACTCAACCCCATTTCAACATGCAGGAGACCTCATATGGCCAATGAAACATTTTTTCAGGGCTCCATTATCTAAGAGTAATGTGGGGTACATTTGGATACTAGCACATTAGTTTTATTTCAGCAAGGTACGCTTATTTGCAAGAGGAACAAACTCTAGACCATCTCTACAACATTAGAACAACACCACTGATTCTAGTAGGGTTCCATGTGAGATATCTAATTTGCCCACGTAGGAATTTACCCATCCCTCCTGCCTTTCAAAGACATTTTTTCGCATGCACCTTTTCAAATAATTTTGTCCATGCACCCTTTTTTTCATTCTTCAAGTTAGTAATATTTCTTCTTTTTTAGGAAAGAGGTATGCTCAAATTTAAATAAGAGAAGAAATGAAAAAGTGAAAAATATAGAAAATTTCTCAATGAGGCCCACCCATAGAAAATGTTGTTGCATATGCATGCTTTAAAGTTTAAAAACACAGGATTTGACCCAAGAAGGGACCTGGTCCCAAGTCGACTCTAAGACATTGAGAACTTTTTGTGGGCACAATGTGTTCTAAATTGTCAGCACGAAAAAACCATCTCACACTACTCTGTCAATATAATGTTCATGAATCATATACTACAACCATAAAAAGCTGGGAGAGTCATTGATCCATACGGCTTTAGAAATAAAATTACAATATCCTTGAGTAAACTACTGATGATAAGATTTGTATCTATTCTTATCTTTTAAACCCCACCCACAATACACAGACGCACGAATGCACATGTACACACGCATGCGCACGCATGCACGCACACACACAGAGGGAATAGAATTACATGGATTTGCTTCAAGTGTCCAGAGAAGGTAGACAGGGATTGAGTTAAAGACTGTTCATCCCCTATATCAGCGAGAACAGAATCAAACCATGGGATTCGAGCTGGCTCTGATGCCAAAACATACAGACCTGACAATGTCAAGAAATTAAACAGTTACAGATCTTCGAGAAAGCTCGAAATGACAAACATAATATGAAATAAATTTGAAAAGTCCCAATATAGACAATTGCCACCATCTTGTTCAATGAGGTTCAAATTGTTCATCAAGTTCAAGAAGTGTTATATAAGCTTATTTTCAATTGTTAAAAGGAGAAAACCGTAAATTGAGATGCACCAAAAAGGTGGCACCATGTGTTTCAGTTCATATTTCATGATGCACAGCCAATTGCGATATACAGCCTTGAGGAATAATCGAATGGTTCAGTTACCTTGTTGGAAACTGTTTTTGCTTTAGACACAGCATAAATCCCCAAAAGAAAAAGAGGTGTGTTGCACAACCAGTTAAATAAGTGTAAGTGATATTGTTACAGTGTGTTCAAGTCTTTTTAAGTACAGAAGTTTACTCTTTTGTCCATATTCCTCTGAAATTGGGCCAGGGTCCAAACGTGAGGATCCTATAGTGCATATGTCAGTCTCACTGAATATAGTCATCAGTGAGTAACTCCACAAAAGTTTGGAAAATAACACAGGATACATTCACAACCCAGTACATAAATCACATTTTGCTGTATGATAACAATATAACAATTTTAAGTCATGTCAAAAAGCATAAAGCAAGAGCATACGAATTAACCTGCTTTTGCCATTAGTGAAGCTAGACCAATCGTCTTTAAACTAATAGTTTTCCCTCCTGTATTAGGGCCTGTTATGACCAGAACTTTGGTTTCTTTGTATACGAGAAAATCAACAGGGATAGGATGAGCAGCTTCTAATTCAGTGACCTGAAATGGTACAGAACAAAACCAAATCATCTTGTAGTATAGGTTCAATGTTTTACCACGGTTTTCCACATAGAGTCTTTCAAGTCTAAATAAAAGATACTATTATGTAGTAACTTAGTACAAGAATGAAAATCCATGAAGAACCAGAACAGATAAGCTACCCGTGATTTTAGGGACCTAAGAAGATCATCCAAATTCTCCTGGGATGTTATCTTCTCACTCTGAAATCTTCTCCGCCTAAGTTCCTAAGTATCAGTGTCAATTTATTAGCATGAACAACCAGCCAAGCATTCTAGGAAGCAATAACTCAAAAAGAAAATTCTCACATATGTCAATGACAGCAATAACACATATTAACATGAAACTCTGCATCATCAATATCATATGAATAAACCTTATCAATTGTAGCAAACAATTTAAAGAATAGACCATTCAACTAAAAGATATCTTTCTTTCTTCACAGAAAAATTGAAATATGGTTGAGAACAGTGACGATACCAAACGTGGAAATGGGCTGCATCACTTTATTGATCCAAGAGAGATTAAGAGGCTATCTTTGAAAATATTACCTCTGGATCAACCAAAGGAAATTGATAACCACTCCAGTCAAGTCCAAAATGGATTCAATGTCCAAAAAGTGTAGTAACATAAAATTTAATAATAAAAACGAATAACCAGCAGTTTGCACGATGAGCACAAGAAAGTATTGATAACCTATTGAAATGTAACTCAGAAAATTAAATGAGGATTTCAATCAAACTAGTCAAAAGATCCAGGCAGCCCCAAGGAATTTGGGGTCCTCATGACCTCAAAGATCCACAAAGGTCCTGAGATTCTAGGCATGACATACTTAACAGAAATTATGTAAAAGGAGAGTACATAGGAAAGACAATATTATTAGCATAGCATCACTTCAATATATGATATAATAAGCCTCTGACTGCTACAATACAATGGTATTACATGAAACATACAATATTATGATTGGCATCATTGACAAAATGATTCAAATGTTAAAAAGGCTTGTTATTCAAGACTTAGAAGTAAAAATTTCCCCTGTTACTTTGTGAAACGACCAAAAACCCCTAAACCATAAATGGTTAGGACAACCTTGATGAAGGGCCTATTTCCTCCCATAGGCATAGAGTGCAGGAAGGCACCTACAGTTTCCCATACACAGCAGCCCCATCCAATGTAGGGTTCACCTGCCTCACCTCTTCGTAGGGAACCACCTAGATGCCCAACGAGCCAACTTTGACCATAAATGATCTTACAGTTGTTGCTGCAGGTTTAACTTGAGACGACTGTGCAACAACTAAAAGTAAGAAAGTAAAAGAAAAAGTAAACACAAACTTTAAAACTAATAAACAAAAATACAAAGATGGTATTGCTACAGCTAAACAACTCAAATGAAGGAATTGACTCCAAGCATAGGTGGTCAAGGTGGCGGATGCCACAACATGACTTCTTGAGTTCCATTCCTATCACGGGTAGGGAACCCCTTCCCTACTGATCTACCCAAAAAATAAATAAATAAATAAATACAAAGATAGTGTCAACATAAACAAGTGGACCTCTAAACCATAACAGCCATGTAAAATTCCAAAAGGGATCTCCTCAATAATTTATTAGCAACAAATATACTATCATCAAACAAATGTTAAATAGATAAAATGCACACCCTTTAGCTGAAGCCTTAGCAACAATCTACAAAATGCACCTTGTGAGATTAGTTCATATAATAGCCAAGATAACAAGCAATACTTTCAAAAATTTGCCTAAATTATTATAGCCTTCTCTCTTGCTACAGATGTAAGCATGTCAATTAAATTCTTAGGACATCTCTGCACAACCCTCAAGGACTCTTATACTTTTCTTTGACAACCGAGGTCTCTTTTTGCTACTAGAATGACTGGTATAACCCATTATATAGTTGAGTTTATCAGTTGAAACTAAGCAACACAACATCTAAAAGGATTTGTCAACTCATTTTGTCCACATAAAGAGTCAATAAGCTGGATATGTGATGAGAATGCATTGTTGAAACTTGAAAGAATTAGAAGATATGTGTTTCAACCATTTATAAGGATTTCTTGGCCCAGAACTCCATCCAAGATATTCATGGAACTACGGATATCAGTATTCTCAACAATTTCAATTATTTCACAGATGCTAGGGATAATGCCACGGCAGCTTTAGAGAAAACCTCAAACGGTACTCACACCAGCAGCTTCATTGACATCCTTCTTTGCATTTTTTATTGACTCCTGGTGTTGATGCAGCAAAAGAGGATGATAGGCTTCCAGCAAATGGATTGTCCACTCTCTTCCATAAGAATAGGAAGAAGAAGTCCCACTAATACCATCTTGGGGAAAACTTTCAGAACAGTCACCCTTGGATTCCATGCAAAACAAATCAGGACATGTCCCTCCAAATGCAAGACTGTACTTTGCCCGAGCTGTGATCTATATTTCAAAAAGACAAAAGGATTAGCAGAAATTTATTAAAGAATGAAGCATCTTTAAGCACTTGCAGAAATCATCATATTAATTCCCAAAACAAAATGCAGAAATCATCATACTAATACCTGTTAACAAGAAAAATATCCCAAACATTAAAAAGGAATGCTAACTAAACACTATTTCCATTAGCCAAAAGATATTCTACTCCCTCAGTGGTATACTGTCCATTTACTGCCGCAGGTAAAACCTCACCGAGGATTAGTTTTATGACCCCAAATTTTGGGATATAACCCCTTTTTAACATATAGATTAACCTCAATAAAAAAATTCCTAATTACACACTCTACGCACTTGAAAAAATGCTTCAATATTGAATAGAAACCATCCAATTTTTAGAGGGTGAGATCTAAGTCCTAGAAAACTCAAATTTCAAAACCGACAATAAAATTTGAAACTCAAAAACTGGTACAGATCTTGCGGATCTTTGAAAACTTATATTTAGGGCGAAATGGACATACTAAATAATTTATTACAATACGCACTATTGTTAGAGCTTGAAATCTGGTTTTTTTTTTCAAACGTAATTTTCAAGCCAAGATGATCAATGTAAAGGTTTTCCAGTGATCAGTGTAATTTACTATTTTTTGGTTTTCACTTGTGGGGTTATATTGGGTTTCTAGTTTTATTTAGGGTTATTTTTGTCTTTTTTTGTTGCCAATATTTGAAGGGTAGAATTGCACGTTTTTTTTTTTTGAAAGATGAGGGGTTAAGATCAAGGTTTCAAACAACGCTAGGCAGCCTGCCTAGCTCCTAGCGCCCAGGCAGGCGCCCAGAACCTTGGGCGCCCCTTAGTTTTTAAAAACTGAGAAATGCCTCACGTCCCTGGACGCCCACCCAAGTACATCCGCCTTGGGCTCCTTCCCAGGTACATCCGCCTGTGTAGGGCTGCCTAGGTCTAGGCGGGTAAATTTTTGGTCCAAGTCACCTAGGCGCCAGGCAGACCGTTTTTTAAAACATTGGTTAGGATTCGAGTAGTGTGCCAAAGGAAACAACTTAGATTTTCGATTTCTTTTCTTTTATAAATATGTAATTATTAGACTAGTAAGAAAGAGAAGAAGAGTTTATTTTGGATCTTGTGAAGAGATCTTTTGGGGTAAACTCCCTTGTAGACCTTAAGAGAAGGTATAATATCACATCCCTTATATTTAAATTTTTAGTTTCCTAATTTATTTAATTTCTTTCCCATCCTCCTTGCATTAGAGAGATAGATAGAGAGCAAGAGAGAAGGGCTTTAGCAAAGAATAGAGTGAAGAAGAAAGATTGGGCGACTAAAGTAGGGCTTCCCCATCTTTCCAAGAGCCTCAAACACCCCCCCGAGGTGGTCTATGGCTTTCCTTGCCTTTCCTAATGATGGGAAAGATAAGGAAAATTTTTGGACAAGCTTTTACCCAAACAAAAGGTCGAAATCCATAAACACTAGGAAAAGCTTGGAAAACTCACCATTTTCACTCCTTTTTCATTATCAAACGGCCCCTTCATGTGCCATCAGCACTAGAAAACACATTTATGAAATCAACTCACAAGAAAAACAACCTATAAATACAAGACCCCTCCTAGAAATGCAATAGTCAAGGGGCAAGATGGGCGTCAGAAAAAGAACATGATTTCTTTCTTATTACTATTACATAAACACAGTATGCAAACCCATGAGACAAATATCTCGCACCACAAGGTTATAATACGGTAGCATGAAGAGGATCTAGATAGTGGAAAGCTCAAGCAGTTTTAAGAGAAATGATTGAGAAACAAATGAGTATTGAAGAACTTGAGGACAACCAAGATAAATAAGATTTGGACCAGGACTAATGATTGCAAAGTTTCAACTCTCAAGCAAAGAACACTAGTGATAAGCACAATGTTACATTAGAGACCCCACCAAAGAGAAAAATGAGGAAAAGAAACCTGAATGATGTCAAATTGTCATGGTTTCCAAATAACACATGAAATAGGCAACTTGACATGGTTTCCAAATAAACTTTAAAAAACTTTGGAGGAAACTTTAAAACAACAAGGCTTTATAGCCTCATCATGGTCAGGAAAGAACCACTTGATCGCTTTCCAGTTAAACAAACTGATCAAACAACAAGACAATCATAGATCCCCATCATCTGCAGCATGGATGGTCAACAGTTAAGGAATCAAAGCAAGTGAAGTGGGTACTAAGAATCCGCTGCACTTAACTCCATAATAATACCACATTACCAAAGAATGCGACCAGCAACCATGGGATGCAGGTGTGACACCTAAAATAATATGACGGTTACATCTTGTGTGCCAAAAAAACTGTAAATTTTACAGTATAAAAACTCCATGGAAATTTCAGGACATAAAAGCAAGCCCAAATAACAAGAAGATCAATGATGAGAAACCAACACCATAAAGTAGGCAGTTGCAATTCAACATCTGTAAATGATAGTAGCTTCACTATTTTGTATTTCATCATGTTGCATCATTAACATTGAACCAATAAAAATGGCTTGGCAAGATTTTTCTTTTGGGTAATTGATATGCCAAGGTGATGATGTCAAGGAACATGAAATAATGTATTGCTACCTACCGCATCAAGCAGTATGATGCTTTCTAGCAAACTCCGAATGCCATCCAAACCATGTCTCATCTGTAAAGGACAAAAGAATCAATAATCAAATGAAAAGAACTACTGGGGGATTTTTTTCCTAATTTGCAAATTATCATTCATAAATGGGAAGTAGTGGTGCAGCCCCCCCCCCCCCCCCCCCTCCTCCCTTCCAGAGGCCAAAAATTGGTTCTCCAGCTCGAGTTGTGTGAGGAAACAAGGAACCCAAATCATTCTTCTTCATTCCAAAAAACAGTATCCTCCAAACACCAAAAGATACCGAGTAAGGAAACCTCAAACCCTTCAACCCCAGCACCGACCCTTCCAAAAAAAAAAATATGGACCGTCCATTTGAGTGGACAACGAATCGAGGGGCTACGGGTTTTTCAGAGTTCCAAATGAAATCTTATTTGGAGGAGAATGATTTGGAGCCTACTAGTAGCTTTTTTGGGTTCTTCATATTTCAAAAGTGGCTTTTGAAGAGGGGAGACCATCATTACTAATATTTTCCCATATAAGTTTTTCTTTCCGGCTAGACCATTCTATAGTTTATATTATTTTTAGGAAAATAAACTTGGACCACTTCTAGATTGTGTTAATCATCCTTTCATAGGAGCCGCACTGGTTTTCCCTGTATGCTACTAATCTAGTATTCTAATTTTAGGTGCACACATGCACATGCACAAACACAGATAGTCACTAAAGTTCATCCATTAATATTGGAGACATGCAGATTTTAGCAAACCCAAATGTATATGTACATGCAATCCGCAACTCCTATGCTAAAGAAGGGCAGAACGCTAGCTCCTTTGAGGTCATGGATGAGGTGGACACACCCCGGCATGGCAGAATGCCATCTGAGCACGGATAAGGCAGATCAACCCTTTCATTTAGGGAATGGATCTGCCCCATTCATACTGAGAAGGAGCTTGGCCAGCCCTCCTGGCCATGGAGGGGCAAATTTGCTTCATCCATGGCCATGGAAAGCCTAGCTCTGCCCCCTCTTACATTGCACCCTTCTCTTGCATAGGAGGGCCACAGCTCCTTCATCTTCCAGTCCGACACCCAGCTATCAAGGGCGTTATGGTAGTGAAGATGGCGAGGAGAAAGAAAGGTTGTGATGGGTGGTGAAGGGAGATTTTGAAACCTATTAGGGGGGAAAAAAGACCAGACTGCCCATTTAAGTAGTCTAGAATGTCAAAATCAGTAGTACTTTATGTCACTATTCCATTTACATTATCATCATCAGCATCCAAGCCTTATCCCAATTATTAGGGGTCGGCAGTCACTATTCCGTTTACATACCTCTCTAGAATTCATTCATTGATTAGGGACCATCTAAATGTTAGAAAAACCCTATGTATGTGTGTGATTATTTATGAGCCTTTGTGTGTAGTATTTCCTTGTCAACCTTTTCAGATATCTTGGAAAGCACTTCTTGCTCAGCCTTTACTACCAATGCTTTTGCTTGAGCCAAATCATCATTTAAAGGAATAGCTGAGATTGGCTCCAGATAGCTATCAGCACCTGAACCACTGAAAACAGCAGTGGGAATTTCAAAACTGGGACAGGCATAAATGGAATACAAACGAAGGCTGAAACTTCCAAAGCAAATCACAACTACAAAAGTCAGACTCAGAAGCATATAATATTTTATCAAACAAACTTTGAGCCAGTAGGACATGGTATTCCAATTTCATGTCAGTTCATTACAGTATTCTCATTCGATAGGGATATTGCAACTAGTGAAGAGGGATAAAGAATGGATTAGAGATCATAATTTCTAAATGATATCCTTGTTTACAATATCAAAGGAAATGAAAACCACTAGAATACAGAGGCATATTAAGTTCTTACAGTGACAAAAGGAGTCCCTGGAAACTGGTCGGCTGATTGATATTGCCCTTTATGCACCATCTTCCGTCAATATTAATCATTTCCTAAAATATGAAATAACAATAGTCATAGTGGCCAAAAGAATAAGGAGTCAACCAAACACCAATAAGCTTCCAAAGTTGAGTTACCCGAGACGATGCTCCATTCATTTCATTCCTCAAAAGAGTGTCCATCAGCTCATGTAACTGAACAGATAAATATTAGACAAATTAATTAAAGCAACAAGAGTTACTAATGATAAATGCTGTTGCCATTTTTAACCAAACATCATTGCTGTAAATTAGTTAGACAAAGTTAAGATTAACAATAAGAACATTTAAACCAGAGCGATGGCCTAAAAATGACTCCTTAATACTTGTGGCAATGAAGCTCCCATGCAGACTCAAGTACAGAAAAGGGCAGAGTAAATGCCAAGCCTTATCCGAAAATTCAGATAATCAATCACCAAAATGGAGCTAGTCTATACATCACAAAAAAAAGTCCCATTATAACAAGGGAAAGTTTATTTAGAGCCTAGGCTCTAAACAATCAAATTGGAGCCTACCACAAAAATTTCACGAAAAAATGTTATTTTGATGAATAAATATACTCAAATTGATAATCTCGACATCAAGATGGATGTACAATACATTTCAAGTTTTGAAAATTGTGTATTTAGTAACGCATTTTTGGACCGTCAATTTTCAAGATTTTCAAGTTTTCATAGATCTGTTGATCTACACTTATTTTTTAAGCTTTAAACTTTATGAATAAATATGAAAATAAATTTTAACGCTATCACAAAGATTTCCAGTATTAAAACCACATTTCTCGACACGAATTGAAGATAGGCTCTGATTTGATTGTTTAGAGCCTAGGTTCAATACAAACCGCACCCTTATAACAAATGCAAGTGCGATGTCTACCTTTCTCTCAAGCAAACGCACTTGATTACGAGACCGCCTCAAATCCGAACTCTGAACTAAAAGAAAAGCAATTATATTAGAGATAAAAACATAACAAAAGCAATGTCTTTAAAGTAAAGAAAGAAAAAACTCTCTCATACCGTTACCAAGAAGTTAGGCCAATTACCATCAAATGGTAAATAGAGGAAATAAATCCTCAATCCAATCACAGAATGCATACAGTTATTTGAAACAAACTATCCCAACTAAAGCAATAATACTCAGCAGTAATACAAGCCAAAGAAAACAAACTGAAAAATGAAAGTATCGCCAAAAGGAAAACAGATAGCTCATGCCTCAAGGATAACACACATAATGGAATAGATGTAGGAAGATGACCAGAGTTGATCAAGTACGCCCTAAGGGCCTCTTTGGGATGCCACATAGTTGTTTGGACAGCAATATAACAGCATTTCCACCTATGGTCAACAGGGCTGGGTTTATGCCATTTGGACCCCAACTAGAAAAGCAGCTTAGCACACAAATATCGACGATCTTGTGAGTGGCATGGAATTGAGTTATGGGATCACAATATTCACCATGAGTACACCAAGACAGACCCTAATTATCTAATGTAACTTTAGATACAACTTACAAGAAATATCACACTTGCATAGGGTTCAATCTGGCATCAGGGGCCCTCTCTAATGGGCATGATCTAGAGATATTCACATAGGGTGGGAGGTACAAAGCCCAAGGGCAGAGACCTTGCAATACTCACGAAAAAACTTTGCTAGAGGAGATTCTAAAAACGAATTTGATAGAAGTATCCCATCGACTATGGTCATGAAATGCAAAGTGCTGCCTATTTGAGACATTTTGCTGTTTATGGCTGCAAATGGTTAGAGGGACATCGATCCCCATTGTTATGGATCTCAATCCCCACCTCAAAGACCAAGATAACGAGCAAATTGATAATTTGCTTAATTTATAGCTAGCTAACTAACAATGCAACTAACTTCTAATTAATTGCATTGCTTGAGATTCCTACTTTAAAGAGTATATGCAGCCATAGACAATATGTACTCCATAAAATTGCGAGCAAGATCCCTAAAAGTTTAGAAGGTCATGATCAAGATCCGAAAAGGTTCGGATTGAGATCCCTAACACTTGGGGATCCTGATCCATAACATATGTATTCTATGTATCTCTCCTTACCATAGGGATCTTCTAGCCTTCCACAATCCCCTGGTACCGACGCCAACAAATATGGTCCAAACCATAGTTTATGGATTCGGGAACGAACCAAATCCAGGATTACGACCAACATCAGGACCACGGGATTGTGACAAGAAAAAAGCTCCCTAAGGTAGGGATTGTCGTCTGCACACCTTAAAATCCCAGGATCTCAATTTGAGTATGTGAAAGACCTCAATCCAAAGCTAATCCTGATTGAATGATAAATTACACAAGACCAAGCACCATCTAGTTGAAAATCAAGGCCCCTAAGAACAATTAATTAGTGTAGTACTAATACTATAATATACCACACTAGTATACAATACATACCAGTACACCATATAGCAATACTATGTTATATACTATATTCTACTGTGCTATTTTATTCAAATCTATTGTATACACCTATATAGTATATACTATTGTATATGGTATATGCTACTATACTATACCATAGTGCTAAACAATATTGCATTACTATACTTACTAATATATCAAACCATACTGCTATACTGTACTAAATTATACTTCACTGCTATACTAAACTATGACGTTAGGAAACCTAAATATTGTGTACCTTAGGACCTCAATCCCAAATAGGAAGGACTGAGATTCCAAAATTCAATAATCGCAGAGGAGCAAGATCCCCTTTCCAAGAACGCATGATCGGAATTCCATAGCAAAACTGCCCACTTGGTAGATTGAATTTAATGCCATCGCCATGTCATGGATTAGGCCCCAGAATTGACTCTAGAAACTTTTCAAGAAGCAGTATTAACTAGAACATAAACTTTGATTCTATATTAATTTAAATTTCCTCTCTGAGTGTGATTGCAAATTTACTAAAAAAGGGCATCAGGTCAGAACTCCTTAAGTGAACTCAAATCCAAATAAGGAACAACAAGGATATAATTCATCTAGGAATTCCATTTTCCGCAAACCAAAATACCATGGCAAGTGTTTGGATAAAAGATTTTATACAAAATATGAAATCAAGTTAAGAAGATTCTAGTGCAAATTAGAAAAGCCACCGTGGAAAAAGGAAGAGTAAAGGAGACAAACTACGAGGAGACTTCATTGTATTCTATAGTATCCTAACCAATCAGACTGAGAACATAAAAGAGAATATTAAACTATTAAAAAAGAGACTACTAAACTATTAAATAAAACAAGGATAACCAAGCAGATAGTTGAGAATAGACCAATCAAGAAATAAGGCTAAACCAACAAAACATCAAAAAAGTTACGGATTCCAACAAGTAGGGCAACAATTAAACAGAAGTTAGACGAATATAAAGCCATGAATTAGATTTGTTTTGCAGCCTACGTTGGTTTGAAAACCAAGGGCACTTCAAGAAGAAGACTCACTTCAGACGTCTTTTTAAATAATGTAAGTGGAGAATAATGAGAAAGATAAAAAACTAACCAACCAATAAAAAGTATAACACAGCAATATTTAAAAACAGCCATCCACAAACAAAATTCCATCACAAAAGTAAAAAGCATGCTTCAACATCCAGCAGAACTTAGGAGATGGGACTCACTCATGATCAAAACCAAGTTGTTTAGTGACTTGGCAAGCCAATTCAATAACTTTCGCTTGAAAATACTAAAATTTTTAAAATAACTGCTGAAAGCAAAAACTACTTGCGCTAATTGATTGTTCAACAGTATAGGTCATGCATGATTATTACTTAACTAAAGTATATTGCCATATTAGTAATTCAGTAGATAATGGTAATAATCCAGTAATTAGTATTTCGTTTTCATGCAATAATCAAAGTAATGTTGTAATATTTATTATTGGGATTATATCCAAGATCGTCGGCTTTTGAACACTAAGGTCACAAATACCTCCAGATGTAAAATCATAAGGCTGGAGCATGTCCTTTCAGCACACTAAGTCCGAGAAAAAAAAACATTCTTGGATTTAGAGGGCAAATCCATGGTACATTGTTAGCCACATAATTTCACATGACGGCTTAGGGTGATTGTGACATTTTTGTACTAAAGGTAAACAGTCTTATTCTATACTTTCCCCTTTTTAATTTTGAGCAGCCTACTGATGGGATTCAAGCCTAAGATGCTCAGTTCTGCCCCGTTATGCCCAAACCTCCAAGCCAAGTGTCCTACTTCAAGCTTATGTTGTAATATAACACATGTATCCAGTTACAACTCATACGTATAAACCACTAGTGTTACGATACACACCACTTTACACCAGCTGAAAAAAAAGCCCCATCAGAACCTACAGCACTTAGACCATGTGTATGCATTAGGAGTTACTTATGGCTTGAAAGAATATAACAATTGCAATTTTTCACCGCAAGGCACTGTTAAGATAATAAGCACCAAGTGTATAGGAACATACTGCAGAATCCTTGACATTGCCATCTTCATCTACCACCTGCAGCACAAACTTAACAAAGTCCTGATTTATGACCATCTCATTGATCTGCAGGCACCACACAACAAAATAAAAAAGACAATCTGAACTAATAGAAGGTAAAGTACAACATAAAGAAAGAATGGAAAGTACATTATAACCCGATGGACTATGGAGACCACAGTCCAATTGGATTATCACTGTTCAGTGTAATGATAAAAGCTGAGGCTGAGGGAGTGGGAGCCATTGAGACGAACATGATCCCAATGTTGGCTCCCACAATCTCTTTGTCACAGTCCATTTCTCTGAATAGAGATGAACACGATGGGCTAATTGTTAAAGAAAATAAAAGTAATAGTAAACATCAAAATATGATTTCTATTAGCCCACTGGAAGTGTACTTCCCAGAAAACATGGTCAGCATCTAAAACGCTTGAATAGAAAATTACCAAATCTGAAAGCGGCATAAACCGCCTGTACCATTCTATATCTTCTTTTATAGCTGCTTTTATACAGACTTGCAATGAACTAGAGAACCGAAGTAGGTTCACCAGAGCCATTGCTTCATGTCCATTGACAATGGAACCCCTTGAGGCACTATCAATTGCAGACTCCACCTTCAACAAGTGAAATAGAAGTAATATAAGGATGGTATCTATAATGTGTTGAGTGCAATGTGGAATAAACCTATGATTTTTCACTACTTTGAGGACAAAAGGGTGAAAACGAGATTTTGAGCTACAGGTAAGATAAAGGAATTGTCGGTCACAAGTGATATTTGAAAGTTACAACTCTCAAAAATCGACAATAAGTTAACACTTTAACTAAATAATTACTATTTGCAAAAGATCCTTAAATTTTGGATTGTCTTTCTATCGCTCTCTCCAAGTTTCACCACCCATGCATGGAGCATGGTGCAATCAGACTGCTTGCTAGTTTCAGTTATGAGCAAGTATAATATAGTCCACGATTACAGAACCATAGTCCATCAGGTTATTGTAAACAAATGAAAGGATAGACATCAATAGAGAGTGGAGCCAGCCAGAGGTGCAAACCACCAAACACAGGACAATATCACAATGATTGGGTCGCACTTCTATGAAACACATTCATCATTTCATAGGAAAATGATGATTATAATGAAATTTATTTTCAAATACTTGCGAAACTTCTACCAAATCCAGGGAAGTACTCCATTAAATTGAACAGGCCACCAGTTAATGGTCCAGACAAAGACTAATAGACAACATTCAGGAGAAGCACAAAATATATTATATTTTACTTAAATTCAACTCACGTTCTATTAGCCCCACAATTTAGTTTGATTCTTTAAGCAAACAACTGAATGCAAGTATTGATCTTTAAAGACAACAAGCACTGCTCTGCCAAAATACCAGTCAAAAAAAGATTCCTTTGTAAAAAGTAATTAACATGCAAAATCACCAAAAACAGACGCATGTAATAACAGAAGTCACAACTGGAAGCCCATAACTTCATTAAATGCAAAGAACATCAACAGCAATGAATTTTGAAGTATACCACTACCAAGAAAAAAGAGTTTAGAGACACATAAACGTCCATATTCCACAATGCCAAGTTCATATTCCTCATGGTTGAAAAAAAACAACCCTGACAAAAAAAGATAGGGCTCATGTGTTGTCCAAAAATTAAAATTGATGAAGCATAGCAAGTGATGCATGGACCAGTAAATAAGAGAATATACAAATGCAACAATTCCAACTTAATGATTTTATGTCAAGGTCAGACAAGTGGCAATGCTAGGGCAAAAGAAATTTCAGGAGGAATATTTTATGGGTGGCATTTAATAGTCCAATACTTCAATGGATAAGTATGTAGCTAGTCATGCTAGGTTTCCATTGAGAACTCAGAGCAGCATATGAGAATGAAGTGCAGGCATGAGAGACAGTTTGCTCCAAACTTGGAGATGTCGAAGCTTTTTGTGATATGCACTGCAAATTTTAGAGCTTGTGAAACTGGAAGCAAAAACTGAAATATACAGGTTCACTACTTTCAATCACTTGAGAGTGCCCAAAAAGACACCTAAAACACACTTGAATAATAGGCTTCCTTAAAGTACTGGAACAAGAAACAGGGGAAAAAAATATGAAACATCCAAATTGGTATATCTGCATACGTTATTAGGCCACCAATATCATACAGTATATAGTGTATATCATATTCTGTTCCACTGTACCCCGAAGTTTCACGAGAAACTATCAAACCAATAATGCCAAGAAGAACAAAAACAAAACAGTGTGAAAGATTCCTCCAAAAACACTGCATATCTACGAACCAATCAGACTAACATTTTCTCATAAACTATTCACAAACACTATATCCCTTAAACAATCACGTAAAAAAAATGAAATTTGCTTCAAAAAGAATTGGCTCCCATAAATCAACAATAACTACACATAATCCATTTGCCCTACAAGCACAATCATAATTGCAAGAGACAAGAGAGAGAGAGATAGAGAGAGAGTTTTGAAAAAGTCTGACCCTAGAAAGTCATTTAGAACACCACTAACCCCCACTTTTCAAAGTTAACAATTTCACAAAAACAAAAACAAAACAAAAAAAAACAAAAAAGCAAATGCAGATATACCAATTTGTAAATCTCCACAACAGTTTTCAAAGTTTAACAATTTCACATTGTAAACATCTGACAGATTTCACAGGTTTACCTCCACAACATCAAGCGTGCTGAAATCCATACCACCAACACCAAACTTCAACATTTCAACTGCAGCATTAGTCTCCGATTGGAGTGCAAGACTCTCCTCGTAGCTTACATTCAACTTGAAAAGCAAATCCTAACAGAACAATACAAATAACAGAACAATCACTTTAACTGTACATAAGAGACCTCATATAGCAAAAGAATAGATAGAGCAAAAGATAGAAAGATAAGAGAGAGAAGGGAGGACCTTGAGCAATACTTTGCCATAAATGGTACCTGCAAAGGCAGCTACGCAGTCACAGAGCTTGTGCCACTCCAAAACCCTAAGACTATCTAGCTCTACAGGTGTTAGTGGAGTTAAACGAGTCTGAAGCTTATTTTGAAGCAACACAACATCTGATTTTTTACTTAAAGAAGTTGAAGAAAACTTTTGACGAGAGAGGGAAACACCAGGCAAATTCAGTGAAGCTCTAGATATGGACCAAGAAGTTCGAGTACACCGAAAAACATCGATAGAGCCACCGAGATTAACACTTAGGGCAGTGGAAATCATTCTAATTACTGAACAGAGGAGCTCCTCAGTCAGGGATAGCAGTTATAACGGCCAAGATGGCCCCACAAAAAACATCAAAGGAAGCAAAATTTGAGGATTCAAAGAATAAGCGGCGAAACCCCCTATACATTTGCAGAGAGAATGACTAACGTAGAAAACGCCCCAGTTTGTTTCAAATTTTCAACAGGGCTAGGAAGGAGGGAGGGAGGGAGTGAGAGGGAGCGTGTGTTTCAGCTTTTGAGCCCAGCGGATAATGTTGGGTAAATTACAAAATAGGAGGCTATATTCTTTTACAAATTACAAAAACAGTCCCTGAACTAAATCGAAAACTTTGAGGATCCAAAGAACAAGCGGCGAAACCCCCTAATACATTTGCAGGGAGAATGACTAACGTAGAAAACGCCCCAGTTTGTTACAAATTTTCAATAGGAGGAGGAGGGAGGAGGGAGGGAGTGAGAGAGTGTGTTTTAGGATTTGAGCCTAATGGATAATGTTGGGTAAATTACAGAATAGGTGCCCTATTCTTTTACAAATTACAAAACAGTCCACGAACTAAATCAACATCCATTTACAAATGGAAAAGTTAGTCACGACTCAGCGGGTAAAGATGGACATTGTAAAAAACTCCCAAAGTTAATACAATGTAGAAAATTTAAAAAGGAAAACACATTTTCAATAGCAAAATTTTTATTTTATTTTTTCATGTTCATGATTATTTTAACCTAAGATCATGAATCCCTCAAAATTTTAGATTGAAAATCCATTTCTAAAAGGAAAAAGTTTATATAAAGATACAACCTTATAATGTAGAACTTCATATGCACTTCAAAAATTCATTGGAAAAGGTAGTTTTAATGCTAAAAATTCCTTTGATTGATCGAGATATATGACCATGAAAATTAAAAATATTTAAAATCTAAAAAATATAGTACATCTTACAACATATTATCTACATCATCCATTTTCAAGATTTTCATAAATTTATAGATTTAATTGATTTTAGCCATTTTAGAAATTTAAATTTTTATAATAAAATATAAAAATAGATTTTTAGATAATCCTAAAAACATTTTATATCAAAATTATATACAATGATAAAATTTGAAAGTGCACCTTACCTCTACAACTACGAATACATCCATATGCCAATTGAACCCTTTCTAAAATAGTTTAAGAGAGAGCCCGCATATGTATAGCATGAGTAGGCTGGCTAATAGAAAGCCATCTCCAGGAACTCAAATAAATAAATTAGAAACTACGCAAAGGCGCGGCGCCCTCGACCAAACCGCAATCGAAATACAAATAGCGCAATAAAAAAAAAACATTATCCGAGCGCCTCTCTCTCTCTCTCTCT